TCATTGAACCACAATACCGATAAGTGATTAATAAAAGTCAAAAGACCAAAGAGGTCACCTTAAAAAAAAAAAAAATATATATATATATTAACTAATATGAATATTTATTTTCTTTTAATATTGTGATATCAGTCTTAAAAACATCTAGGTTTTTTAAAATGTTTCAGTATATCAAAATATAACACTTTCAAAGATTATATTCTTGTTATAAAATATGCTTTAAAAGATTGTTTATATAATAATCTATAATTTATAACCAGATTAAATAGAAAAATAAGTTAATTCTATTACAATATATTGCTTCAGATCTTTAATAAATTCATGGAAATATATTACTAAATAAATTAAAAAATGCATATATTGCAGATTTGGGTTTTTTAATATTAACTAATATTACATCAAAATCAGAATTAGATAGTATTTATAAAATTTTGCCAAATATTGCTCCAGAAGTTTTGAATAACTAAGCAACAAATTACACAATTAAGCATAATAACCATCAAATAATCATTATATGAAATTGTCTAAAGACTTTTTAATGCACTATAATCTAATTAAATTAATAGAAATCTACTATTAAATAGTTTTTCTTTTTTGTATTAATTTAATAAGAATATAAATAATTGATTAATGCATTTAGAATAAGTTATTCATACAATTAACTATACAAACAGTTTTGAATACTGTATAGTAAACTGTAATGCCATAGTACCACAATGTTACAATTCATAATGCAGTTTTTCATATTGCCTATTGGCTTTAATTTGGCTTATTAATTCTAAACAAACAATTTTTCACACAATGTCAGTTTTTTTGCAAAGTAAAATACATTATAACAAAACTGTTAAAATCTATTTATATGGCATCAGAATTCAACTGAACATGTATTGTGTATCACTTCCTTAATCAATTGAATATACTCTTTGTAGAATACTTCCTGCTTGCACAATATTCCATATTGGCCATTGAAATATTAATACAAACCAAAAAGTGCTTTACAAGGTATAAAGAAATTAGACTGTTAAGTATATGAGTTCTCAAGATCACATCTTTTACTAACTTTATTAAATAATGAAAGAGCATTGATATTGGGTATAACAGATAAATAGTTAAATTAAACAGATTAATTGAATAAATTCAGTTATAATAAAACTAATTAATTGGATAAATTCGGTTATAATAAACTGATTAATCGGATAAATTCGGTTGTAATAAACCGATTAATCGTATATAATAAAACCGATTAATCGGATGGATTCGGTTATAATAAAACCGATTAATCGGATAAATTCGGTTATAATAAAACCAATTGATCGATTTAAAAAAAGTTCAACCCGGTTATAAGTTAAAACCGGTTAAACCCGTTTATAAATCCGATTACAATAACCGGTTCCAACCTCTAAGTCCTTGTGTAAAAAAAACGTAAATAACACAAAAATTTACTATGATAACTAAACTTTCGACCTCCAAGTAAACGATTTTAATGTTAGATATATAAGATACTGCGACCCATATTTTTTGGCCAGCAACTCGGGATTGACCAATTAGATTACAAGATCAGGTGTAATTGGACACGACCCCTTAAATCACTTTTGCACATTAAAATTATGTTGTCTTTCTCTTCGCAAAATTTAGATATTCATTGAGTTACGATTTTGGATGCTTTGGATGGTTTGTACCGTACAGTATAAAATAAACCTTAAAAGTTTGATAAATGTTAAGATTTTATAACCAATTACCTACATTGTATTTGCATGAATAAATTATTTCATAAAAATTGCTCATGTTTATTATGAACGATATACCAAAAAAAACTAATGCAATAGTTATAATTTATGCCACAAATGTATAAATTAATATCTAAACGAATATTTTATAAACCTATAAACAAAAAGCGAATCTTAACTAGAACAGAAACGGACAACTTTACAAAGGATTATGCATGTGTAAATAAATCATCTATTTTTCGGTTGATTCAACTTTACTCTCTATTTCTTTAATCATATTCAGAATGTTGTTTTGCCAATTTGTTTTCATCTTACCTAAAATTTCTCTAATAAACGATATGTTTTCCTATTTAAAAAAATGAAGTTTTTATCTGAATAACAATTGTAGATAACCATCCATACGGAACATTCAAATTTATTTACCTCCTCATCGCAAAACTCAACATGTGGTTCAGATTTAATGTAAAGCAAAATTTGATCGCTATCTTCAATGTCATTTTTAAAAAGCTCTTTCAAGCAACTTAATTGTTTTTTTAAATATAAAAGGTGGTTCTTTATTGTCAAGGACATATTTTGAAGTTTTTGAGCCTAAAAAGAATCGAAAAACAAGGTTAAAAAAGAAACTACGATATAAACAAGAAAAAAGATCTATTTCGCTTATTATCATTTACCAACGCTCTTAGACCGGATTTCTTATTTTTGACACTTAGTGTTTCATTTAAAATCCCCAAACCGATTAGAGTATAATTGCATATCTAACTCAGATCAATTAAAGAAGTTAGTGTTAAAAATATTTTATAATATGGCTTGATTATTACATACTTCGAAAAAAGACGTTAGCTGATGAAACAGCATCCACTTGATGTCATATAATTTTATTTGAGAATTGTCAATGGGTTCCGAAGCTAAAATAATATGTTGCCAATTAAGTTTACGGTAACAGATGCATGCAATCAATTTAGGCGAAATTACCTTTTATTGCATTACTAAGCTCTTCAGCGATCAACTCGAAATTCTGGGCAAATTCTTTTTAAAAATAACATTACCATAACGATTAATGAAATACAAATGAGCATATAAATAGATTTTATATATTCACTAATATACCTTTTTGCCCATTCTGAATTTCCTTTACGGCCATGACAAGACGACCAAGTTTTGCAATTACATTTCCAAGTTGCATTTCCTGTTCCATTATCTATGGTAATTTTAAATTAAGAATTTATAAATGGACCATAAATAATAAGTCAAAAAAGAAGTTTAATATATACATTATGTTTATCATTAGTCTCCTGAGTTAATACTTTTTCCAATTCTTCAACTAGCAGATTAATATTATTGGTATTCTGTTCAACATGTATGCATTTCAAAATACGTGGAATAATTGAGAACATCTTAAGCCATGGTTTCTGTAAATTGATGTTTTAAAAAAAAAGGTGAGATAAATATATAATATAAAATATTATATCACTGTAATAATGCTGAGGTTGCATACATCAAGTTTTGGTGACACTCTAGTAATCTCTTCCATCGTTGGCTTGCTATCAGGATTATAGTTTGGCATGGATATAAAGTCTCTGTTATCTCGAAGATTTGTACAAAACCCATCTGATCAAAAGTAAAACAACTATTTTTAGAATATAGAAGACACATAATCAGGAAAGGAAAAAATATTGCTAGATACCTTCGTATGAAAGATCAGAAACTTCCAAGTCTTGTAAATACTCTATTATTTGTTTGTTGGTTTTTGAAGCAATTGAAATCTCTAGTCGTATCATTTCTCGATAAATGAGAGCCTTCTGTAATGAATTTTCAAGTTCTTTCCGAAGTGCAACGAATTCTTGAATCTGAAAGCATTAATTTGTAAAGGTTATAAATTAAGAACTATGAAGTTTATCATTCAAAACATAATTATACGATTTACTTTGGAATATGTCATATATTTGAATGCTTGTACTATCATCTCAGGTGTCTGCAAAAATTGCCGTAATGAGTAATTCATGCAATGATAATATAATTCAAGCGTTAAGTTATATACACCTCAAGTTCATTACTACGATAAATAGGCAGTGTATCATAACAAGCTTGAGTAGATTCTTCAAAGAATCCCGATGAAAAAGACCGTGAAACTATGTAATGACTGAAAAAAAAGGTATTATTATATTATGATTATATGATTGTTATTTGCGCAAACATGCTGATACCTCATAGTATCCAGCTGAACATGTTTAATATCCATTGATTTATATAGCTCTAACGGCCTATCGAAGATACCTATTGAGTAAGATTCGATAGCAATATAAGCAAATTAACTTTGCCGATCGAGCTAATGGGGAAAAATTAGCTAACCAATTGTTTGATACAATCTTATCAAAAGTAATTTAAACTGGAAATTATAATTGCTTTTTTTCATTGCAGCTTCTAAAAGAAAAATTGCTTGAAATATATAACTGTTTTTGCCTTTAAATAAAATAGAATATCTGTTTTTAATACAATCCACACAGGTGACTTGATAACGAATATCTAAGTGTATCTAAGACTCACCAACTTTTTTATATAAATCGATTAAAACGTGTGAACACAATATGACAAAGTCGTCCCCATATTGATTCTCCGCTTCTAGCAACTTGGTTCCTGTGAAAACGAGATTTAATTAATTAAATAAAGCTTAAAATCTTTAAATTATTGCGTATGGAAAATAAATACCATATTGAAGCGAGTCTTTGTATGACTGCCATAGTTTATTAACATACTGTATGGATTCGCCCTCACTATATTCTACAAGTAAATTCAGATATCTCTCAAATTTATGAATATTTACATTTTTTTTGATGTTTTGAATCTTGGACTATTATAAAATTAAGTATTAGTAAATCTATGTGTCATGTCATATATGAGTGTCAATAAAAGAAACCCCGAAAATTTAAATATGATTTATATTTAAATTTTCGGGGTTTCTTTTAGCGACACATATAATACGTTATTGAACCTAAAAACAGCTAAGAACCTTATCATCATCCGAACCGTCAATTGTGGCTTTGAATTTGTCGATTATTTTTTTAGCCGAATCTATATGAATTTCTTTCAAATAAAGTTGCAAATCTTCAAAGCAGCATGCTTTGGATCCAAACCTGAGAAAATAATCGGCAACAAGGGTATCGATTTCTTTTGCCGGTTTGCCTAATATTACATATTATATTTACCACAAACAATAGATTGATTTACAAAATATAATACTGTTATCGACATACAATCTTTTAATTTTTCGTCTATGTACTTTTCCAATTTAAGCTCAGCAAGGAAAGGACCACGTTTGATTTCAGAGCTTTCTATCACAATTTTTTGCAACGAACACAAAAATTCACGAACTTCATCCAAGTTGGCAGGAGCTGAACTGTTTTCATATGAATAACATGGGAAATTGATCTCAATTAAATATTTGTAAATAGTCATATCAACTGATCGATTAAATAAGTATACCTGCTACCATTCTCACTCTTGTTAGGCTCAGAAAGTAGATGTAAGTAGGATTCTAAATACGTGAAATAACTGTTCCAGTCATCTGGACTATATAGAATTAAATCATGTCAGATGATTTGAAACTCATAAAAATATTAATCTCATTTTTCTAAGTAAAAGAATCAATATACCAACTTCGATTCTGTTAACGACTTTTTGTTCATCTCAATTGCTTTAATCCAATTGCTTGTTTTAAGGAACAAATCATTCCGAATGCAATTAATTTCAACGTCTTCTTTGCATTTTTTGCCCAGATCACCTTCTAAGACATCTAAAGCCGCTTTAAATTTATTTTGGGCCAACAATACAATTAAATAAAGGTGAACCTCTATTTAGAGGGAAAAAAGAGATTAATGATGTAAAATGGATCCATATAAGATTAACGAATGATATTGAATAATTTTAAAAAACCTTCTGTTTGCTCTAATTTCCCTTCTTTCACAGCTTTGTCCATCATGCGCTCGGCTAATTCTAAAAAAATTCTTGATTGACTAGCCGGTGCATTCTCAGCCTAAGAAAACATAATCAGGAAATACGGATAATTGGTTAAGGAGTAATAACCCGTAATGCCCTGAAGAACTCGCTTTCTTTACCTGTAATACCAGACTCATGATTGCCCAAAACAAATATTTATTTAACTTGAAATTCTTATGTAGCTTTAAAGCAACCTAACGGACCATAATGGTTCTGTATTAATAATATAATTAAGCGTATTTTATAAACACAAATTTTACATACTTGCTGTTGTCCCTTAAAATCACTATTTCTAACCATTGCCATGAACCAATGATTACTAAGTTCTTCATTATTGGGGTTCTTACGCGTAGCATTATCATATATTTTAACGATCTCATCATCTGTAATTTTATACAATAATGCTAGTAACCATCCAAATAATTTTTAAAGATGAAATTATTAAATTATCAGGATCAATTACGTTTGCCTAATGATCTATAAACCATGGTAAGTGCCTGTAAAATTGGTTCATCGATTGGACTTTTGTCTCTCACTTGATCGCATAATTGTAATGCTTCATCAGATTTTCCCATTCTTTCTAAAACCAAACCTTTCAACGCCTATATTTTAAACAAAATTATTAAAAAAAAAAAATGGAAATTTTTAAAAAGCTACTTCATACGAAAATAATAAAATGTATGCCTTTAATATGAGTGCATCCGGTTGTTTTTTAAGTAATTTGTTACATTGTTGTAATGCAGTCTTGAAGCTGCAGTTGTCAATTGCCTCTAAATGCAGAAATATATCCATCAAATGAATATACAAAATTAATCAAAGAAAATAAACAAACCATACCATAAATCGGTCGAATTTTTCGTTCGCTGACG